ACTTTCTGAGACAACACTCCTCCAATTCCGACATTACTAGCATCATAATCCAGTATGTACGGCAGTGAGGGATCTGGAAGCTTTAAAAGTGGAGCGGAGGCCAATTTTTCCTTGAACGTCATGAAAGATACTGGCAAGAAATTGTGCATTCAAATTTCTGGCCTTTTTTAGTCAAATCATGTAATGGAGCAGCTATAGTTGCAAAGTCCTTCACAAACTTCCGGTAATAGGTACAGAGTCCCAAGAAACTTCTTAACTCTCCCACATTAATATTATGAAATATACTTTACACTAAATAGGTTGGACCATGAATGCTTCTTTGACAGGTAGATTGTAGGGAAATATACCATATTAATTCACCTTTGAAACATTAATCAAAATATCTCTTCCTTTCTAAAACCAAAAATCTCTTGAAATGTAATTTAAACACTTAGTAAGATTCCAAATTGTAATTAATAGGATTACATGACCTTATATTCTGTGCAGCTGAACTTTCTGTGTGTGGCTGATGTTGCATGTCTGGTACATGCACCAGAATGTTTGCAATAGTTCTCATTGACCCGGTGACGATGATATTCTGTTTAGTATTGTCATAATAATAAATAAATATTTATTAATAAATATTGTGATAAATTTTTCGAGTGAAAATGTAAATATTACTGATAATGAAGAGGATTACAAATAACTGAAGAAAAAATGGAAGAACAGTTGGATTGCAAACCATGGCGTTAAAGTCAGACTGATAATTAGACACCATCTGATGACAAAATAAACTGATTGCAAGACATGGTATTAAACTCAGACTAATAATTAGACACTATTCAATGACAAAATAATTTGATAATCAAAGCTGGCTTTCAAAGTAGTGAGACTTTTAAGAAGTAGAAATGAACAAGTAAATGAATAAAGTAAACTGTATTTAATTAAAGATGATTAACAGCAGTTACTAAACTAAAATATGGATGGTACTTCTTTAGCAAGTCACGGCTCTCGGGCAAGAGTCTACTTTCTTATAAGATTGAAGAGAATCTCTCTCAGACTTTCAAAACTGTATTCACAGACTGAGACCACCTTTCTGTAGCTGACAGATCAGAAAACTGGATCATTAGAATCCAAAACTATCATTCCTACGACAATGTAGATATGTTTGTCAATTGGTCCTGCTACAGAAAGTAATACCTCAGGTTAAATTTGGTATACTCTGAATTATAACTTTAAAATTTTTGTTAGTATGAGATATTGACTGTAGGAGAGTAAAGCATGAAAAGTAAATGTAGCCTTTTTTAGACCTCATTTTTCACTTTTAAGCTTTGTGGGCATGAAAGTGTTTTATTTGTTCATCTGTGATATTTATAGTGCAAAGGTCAGTTAATTTAGTTTTTGGCTTTTTTTATTTGTTTTTATGTGATGATAATTATGGTTTAGTAAGATAAGAATTTACTTGTCTTTTGTTTGAAGTCTTGCTTTAGAAGTTTTCATTTTCTTATACTTAAAACATTCATTTTAATGTCAGGAGGCATAAGTAAATGTTGGTTAATTGAATCATGGAATTTACAGGAAGGTGACGTACTCTTTCCAAAAGATGAGGAGAACAAATTTATAATAAGCGACATAGACTACTTGGAAACTTGGGAGGTAAGTGTGATATTTGTAATTAATAATATCGTAAATATTCTTGATTAATGATTTTAAGTATATTTCTTTGTAGAGTACTTAAATAATTGACTTAGAGCTGTGAATTACATTATCACTAGTTAAGTATTTTTAACAGAATTTGAATTGGACAGATTATCACCCAAAACATAGGATAAAATAAAAATTTTACAAGATCTGGTTTTCAACATTGTCCAGTTCATGAAGAAAAAATTACTTTATAAAAATTACAAATATGAAATGAATAGCTACGTGGCATTCAATTTAGTGTTGTTGTTTTTTTGTCATTTATCCACAGGGCATGGAGGACTGCGTTAAGCTAGGACTTGTCCGATCTATTGGCCTTTCCAATTTCAACATTGAGCAGATTCAGCGAATTATGAAGAATTCTTCCATTAAACCTGTTATGCTTCAGGTAATTTTTGTTTATATATGTGTGACACAGGTGCCAAAAAATGTCGTGGCCTACATGATAAAATTAAAGATAAACTTACAAACAACTTTACATGTAAGGGTAAAATAGAAAAATAAGTGGGCACCATCATATAGAAAAGCTTATCATTATTCATAATTAAAAAAGTAGATTCAGTTCTTCAGGAGTAACAACCACAAATGGAGTTAGAAACATTGTAGGGAAAATTAACTGCTAAAAGGTTTTTCATTGGTTAGTAACTTATGTAAATTCATTGTGATTGGTTCAACAGGACATCTCTGTAACAGTGTGATATTCCTGGTTTAAAAAAATGATGGCATATAGGTGAACTTTCACCATATAATGAGGGGTTCTAAGATGTGTTTGTTTGGAAAATTAACATAAGAACAAGTGCAGAGAAAAAAAAAGAAACAAGTTTGGCAAACACAACTAAGTGTATTAATAGGCCTAACAATTGTAATAAAAATCATGTTAACTGCTGGATGATGAGATACAAAAGATTCTATGAAATGGTTTTTATATATGCAGTATAGTACTTTAAAAGTTATGGTTTAAATGCCAACAGCTGCTAAATGGGGGGGGGGGGACCTGTAGCTAATGTGATTTATATTATAATTTATAGCCTATTGGTTTCTAACGCTTCCCTAACTTTCAGCACTTAGACATTAACAACTAAGTACTGATTATTTTATGCTGTACAATTATTTTGTGTCTTCAGATTGAAAATATTAAATTAAATTAAGGTGAAATACAACTACAATAAACTTGAAGCCACACACACAGATGATAACACTTTCATCAAAATACACAAGGAAAACCCTGTGAGAATTAAACATTAAATAAAACTGTTTAAGATGCACAAAACATGAAGTAAAAATACCCTTTACATGGAGACGACGTGAATGGATAATGAAGAAAACTTTATTGTAAATGTACAACGTTTCGACAAGAGTATTGATGCTGACATAATGATAAAGTTTTTTCATTCAAACCGTCTCCAAACTTTTATGTTCTAAAAAGTGGATTTATCAGATTTAAACCTTTTACATGTATATAGTATGGATGAATTAATGCTTATAGTTCTTTACAAACTTGAGTTTCAAAAACTAAATGAAGAGCAAACTAGTTACCTGTATGATTCAGGATGGTACCATTGAAAAAAAGATACCGTCTCCAAACTTTTATGTTCTAAAAAGTGGATTTATCAGATTTAAACCTTTTACATGTATATAGTATGGATGAATTAATGCTTATAGTTCTTTACAAACTTGAGTTTCAAAAACTAAATGAAGAGCAAACTAGTTACCTGTATGATTCAGGATGGTACCATTGAAAAAAAGATACTGTTATGTACCAGGACAGTACCAACAAAACCTACTTATCTGTGTAAATCAGTATGGTATCATTGAAAAAAAGATACCATTATGTACCAGGACAGTACCAACAAAAACTAATTACCTGTGTGGATCAACAAACACCAGCCAGTGTGAACCAATATTAAACAATGTACAAAAAGAAATCAAAATGTTTAATTACTGTTTTTGTAAAGTTATTTCTTTTTGTTAACATTTCAGTGAAAACCATTTTAAGCAACACTTCTGGAACAAGTATATTTTTATTATCTTATTAACAAATGTAAGTTGATGTTGTCACACAACTTTATGTAACTATTAGTTCTATTAGTAAGTCCTTATACTTAAAAAAAAGCACATAATGCTTGATTTCTAATGTTTTTTGTTTTGTTTTTTAATCAAATAGATTAAGCTTCTTCTGGAAATTTTCAACTGGAGCACCCTGCAGATGTTTTCAATCACTTGACACTAAGTACCAGTTGATTTAAACATAGTACTTTTATTTGTTTTATCATTTCGGAAAAATGGTTTGTTTTTTAAATAATTAAATCGAAAGAAAACAAAATGGATCTTTGTAGGCCAACAACTTAATGGTTGTTTGAGTAGAAAACTACATTTAACTGAGGAAAAAAGCTTTTTAATAAACATTGTAAGCAATATTATTATTGCTATTGGCTTTTAGAAAGATAATAATCATGACAAAGCTGTTTCTTATTTACCTGTAGGTCGAATGCCATCCATACCTAAACCAAAAGAAGTTGATTGACTTTTGCCATCAGCACAATATCCATGTCACCGCATATAGTCCCTTAGGCTCAAACGATCGACCATGGTAAGATAGGAACTTTGACTTTGTAATCCCTAGTTTAGCCATTTGTGTCCACCCCCTAATCAAAGACCAGCTTTAGTATGAACTAGTTTAGCCATTTGTGTCAACCCCTAATCAAAGACCAGCTTTAGTATGAACTAGTTTAGCCATTTGTGTCAACCCCTAATCAAAGACCAGCTTTAGTATGAACTAGTTTAGCCATTTGTGTCAACCCCTAATCAAAGACCAGCTTTAGTATGAACTAGTTTAGCCATTTGTGTCAACCCCTAATCAAAGACCAGCTTTAGTATGAACTAGTTTAGCCATTTGTGTCAACCCCTAATCAAAGACCAGCTTCAATATGAACTAGTTTAGCCATTTGTGTCAACCCCTAATCAAAGACCAGCTTTAGTATGAACTAGTTTAGCCATTTGTGTCAACCCCTAATCAAAGACCAGCTTTAGTATGAGTTCGTTTAAGATGCGTAGCCATACAAAAACTCAATTATTCAAGAAACATATATTAGTAAAAACAATCCTTGGTATATTAAGAATGTGTTTTTCTGGTTAACATAATGACTTTAGTGCTACATTTCATTTTTGTTTCTTCAGAAGGTATACGTAGGATTGAAACAATTTGTGAACACGGTTTATTTCTGACAAGGGTATAAGTATGAATATCCCATTATACTCATTTGAAAACACTTACAGTTTTTTCAATAATTGTCATTGATCTTAGTGGGAAATTCTATTGACTCGGAGGCATTTTTAAGTAACAAATAACTTTGACTAGCTCATCAGTTCCATGTTTAGCGAGGGTAGATTTTAGCACTATAAACAAGCTCTTTTCATACAATATGTGTTTTTTCAAGTTCTTTACTGTATAGAATGTATATCATAGCTTGTCTGTCTGTTCTTTGAGCTTATTTTTATTTCTCATATTTTTCTTTCTATAACATCACGATGCTTGCATTTCAACTTCACTACATTTGTTTTGACTCCAACCCAAAAGGTTCTTCAAATGTCTGACGATATTCTATTTGTCTAAACATTCTTCTGAAATATTACAATTTTATTGGAACCCACTTGGAAATAGCAGATTCAAATTCTTTGTATTTTGTAGTATTTCTAGTGCGAGATCGTGAATCGGTATTTCACCAACCAGATTCCACTGAAGCTTTTTTTGCTACATACATCCAACCAGAAATTATAAATTTTGACAACTGTGTAAATTCAACCAGATTACATTAATGTCCTAGTGTTATGTAATTGTTGGCATTATGTAACTTCAACCAGATTACATTAATGTCCTAGTGTTATGTAATTGTTGGCATTATGTAACTTCAACCAGATTACATTAATGTCCTAGTGTTATGTAATTGTTGGCATTATGTAAATTCAACCAGATTACATTAATGTCCTAGTGTTATGTAATTGTTGGCATTATGTAAATTCAACCAGATTACATTAATGTCCTAGTGTTATGTAATTGTTGGCATTATGTAAATTCAACCAGATTACATTAATGTCCTAGTGTTATGTAATTGTTGGCATTATGTAACCTCAACCAGATTACAATAATATCTTAATGTTATCTGAATGTTGGCAACTGTTTAAATCGTGGCATATTATATTAATGTCCTAGTATTATCTGAGTGTACTTGTTTGCCATAGAGCTAGTATTTGATTTTAAAAAGCTGTACTGTTGAGATGAAAGTTTATTTATTTTTCCTGAAAGATTTGCTGTAATTTTTAATTAGTTTGTTCTTAATATGATTTTAGGGCTAAACCTGAGGATCCTAGTTTATTAGAAAATCTTAAACTTCAGGAGATTGCCAAAAAATATGGGAAGACAACTGCACAGGTATTTCATTATTTCTTCTAACATAAGCAGTAATCAGGAGTGAGAGTACGTTATACAAACAATTAATTATAAGCAGTAAGAATACCAAAGTAACTAAGGATTCAGTAATCTTCAGATGCTCTTAACTACTAGAGTCTTGGGTACAGTAAAGCTTACAACAATGAATCATTTACATTTATCTTGAGTACAGTAAAGCTTACAACAATGAATCATTTACATTCCTGAAATGGTTAATTTCTAAAATAAAGTACTGCACCACCAACACGGTGTTTTACTGGTGAACTTCTATCATCATCTGTGTTCTGCACCACCAACACGGTGTTTTACTGGTAAACTTCTGTCATCATCTGAAATGTGTTCTGCACCACCAACACGGTGTTTTACTGGTAAACTTCTGTCATCATCTGTGTTCTGCACCACCAACACAGTG